AACTGTTCAAACTGTCGGACAATGAAAACATAGAGGATGACAAGGCTGACCTCCTAAAGGAGTTGCAAATATCTTCGTACCATGAATGTTTAATTTCAGACATTGTGGAATATTTCCAATTGATAACTTCCCGCCACTAGAGGATATTTCTGAGCTGGCATCAGACATCAGGTCTAACATAATTGATGACTCGTCCGCTTTTTATTACATTTGGGGCTATTTGATCAAGCTTTTGCTTGAACAGACAACTTACAGCTGTGGCTGTTCTCAGCTGCTATCAGAAGACTCTAATAACTTGACCAGGCCTCACCAGTACTGTCTTGTTCCTAAAGCATACCACGTGCCTGGAAAGTTCTTCGGGAACTTAGTAGTACCATCACAGGCTGCCTTTCATTTCATTCAGCAACTAGAAAATCACTTTTTTCCCATAATACAGAGTGTGACACACGTTCGAGGAGTGTGCGCCGCCTTGTATAGCACACTTTGAGGTCTGGGTGGTTGTAGCCTTTGCGCAGAGGAGTACCACAAAGGGTTTTTAAAATTGTTTTGCAGAATACGCTTGTGTTGACATGTTTGATTTCTTAACCGGAATTTGGACAAAGTTCGGTTGCACCCTTCAGTGGCTAGTAAGAACGAGACAGGTTTAACTGTTAATAGTGTATTAACAAAGCTGGTTGCCAAACCAAAAAGCAAAAAGTGCTTATTAAGTGGGCGGTGCAGCTTGCCGCTTTAAATATATGTTTCCCCCTTTTCCAACGAATGTGTATCACGGCTCCCTAACAAAACTATTTGTCCACTTTCTATAAAATTCCGATAAAAATAATGTATAGAGGCTAAAAATATTTGAAAGAAAATGTATCCACTTTTGTATCCACTGTCCATAGTTTTTTAGCCGCTTTTTTCTGCAGCCATATTTCTTTTCTGAACAATTTCGGGAAAAGTTTAGGGACGTTGAATCTTGTCAGATTTCGAATAGAGTTCTCATTGTTTGGTAATGGCTTGCCCGCAGTGAGTTTGAGGCTATGCAAATTGTTTTTTTTTTTTATAATTGCCGGAAATCGGAAATTTGTACTATCCGGCGTGTGCTTCGCACTGTTATTATACTCTTATGACTGGTAATGATAGCGATGTCTTATTTATTTTTGCACTTACTTCCCGTACCCGAGTCGGCGTGAAAGTGAATGTATCATACAGCATGTTCTTCGTGGAAAGGTTTTGTTAACTTGGTTCCACTAAGAATCTATTACGAATTGTACGATATGTGCCGAAGTCCTTCATATTCATTTATTTTTGTGAGTATCGATCTCTTTCGTATAAAACATACAGAGCTTTTGAAGTAAATCATGTATACATGAATGTGTTCCAATAAAATGTGTTCGAACCACTCTCTGTTGTTGACCCCAAAATGCTCCACCATCCAGGAGTCAATGCGGTGATTGTGTAACTTCAATGCTTTACAATAGAAAAAGAACAAGAAATATATATACTTCTGCTTTGTGAAGTAAGTTGTAATATTGTTTCACGCATTTTGCGCGGACTCTATCGTAAAAAATAAACCAAAAGTGTGTCAGTATTAAAAAAAAAAAAAAAAAAAAACAGCGGCTTTGGGAGTCAAGGAGCTCCCGAGAGCCGAGCGAGGGGGGGAGGAAACAGAGAGAGAAGGGTACCAGAGAACCGGAGCAGAAACGCCCAAACCGAAACCGAAACTAACTTGACCGGAAACGGAATCGGATTATACTTAATACCGCCTGCTAGGAGCGCTACCTGTCACTCGTCTATCTGGGCCGCTGGGGCCTATGGCAGTGTCCGCTCTTTACCTTGTGTATTACTCTATGGCTCGGGTTCGAGTCAAGTTTAAGCCGAACGTTAACGCAATCGTCGTGTCCAATCGGTGATCAGCGTTGGCCTTCGCTGATGACGTCATCTCATTCAGCACTACGGCTTTCTTATCTAGTGGGTGTTGCTTCCTGTCGGCTCGCGTCGGCCGTGCCGCGCGAAGGGAGCGATAAGGACAGCCCTGGCGTCCCTTCCCGCCAAGAATGGCGCGACGAAGGGAGAATCTTTGTGTCGTCTGCTTGAAAGACTTGTTTTCGAACATTACTCGCGTTATGCGAAATCCCCCTTTGGCTGTACAATTGCTACGCGTAATGTTTGTTGGTTTTAGAAACTTCTACCGCGCTTATTCACTTCGCGGATCACCGACCATTAGTGGCTGCAGTGTCGGTGCATCCACGACGCCAACCACGTCGCACCTCCGTCCTCAGGTACGTTAAGAGACCATTCCAACCGCATTGCGCGACCATGCTACTGCTATCGCTTTCGTTTCTTCGCGCATTGGGGGCGAAAAATACTATTTTTTAAATCATTTTCACATCACGGCTAGACAATAATGAGGCCGAGCATCAATTCACCAATTGCGTAATGCTAAAAAAATAGAACTTAATGTTGATCTAACGTTTGAATGAATTTGCCAGGTAATCAGCTCATTTTGCATATTTTCTGGTGCCCCCGATGACCATCAACTTAGAACTTAATGTTGATCTAACGTTTGTAGGACGAATGACGACGAAAGCTACGCGCCCGAGTATGTAGGCGCTCTACTCGAGATTCGATTGGCACGGCTCATATGGTGAAAAGCAGAACTACGCTTTGTTTTACACTTGCTTGGAGCAAAACGAATGCTACGGACGCGAGGCAATGCAGCGCTCGCGCACTGGAATCGACTGCTAGGAGTTGTTCGTGCTCTGTACCCTTGCCCGTGCTTTGTGCCGTTAGGGCTCATTCACACTGGAAGCGGATCCGCGTTCGCAAAGCGGTTGCGAACGCGGTTCTATAAGGACTCAGTACAATTGCACGCGCATTTGATGACATCAAATGCGCGTGCAATTGCACTGGATCTTTATACAACCGCGTTCGCAACCGCTTCGCGAACGCGGATCCGCTTCCAGTGTGAATGGGGGGTTAGGGTGGATGCTTTGTCTCCACCCGCATTGTAGACAGATGGAATCGCCATGTAGCTCATAGATAAGCATGGGTAAACAAGAGCACACTTGCCCTAAACTCAATCTGGGTCTCCAGGCGAATAGCTGTCTCTCGCCTTTCCATATTTTGAGACTTCCAGACTCCTTTTAGATATCCAGACTTAGTAAAGAAATTGATTTTTGTAAATGGTTTTATTTCAAGTAAGTTGTGAGTACGTGTCTTCTGAAGCGCAGCTCTTAGGCGCCCGTTTCCGGCTTGAGCACCGTCGCCGTCGGCTAACCGCGCGTTGCATTATGGAACGCTTCCCGTAATGACGTCACACGTGGCGTCACGTGCGACGTCATGAAAGCAATATTTTTCAGCTAAATGTGGCGAGAAATGTTTCCGCTAAATTTAGCAAAAAAATTCCCGCAAAATTTAGCGGGAAAATTTTACCCTCGTGACGTCACACGCGATCCTCCCCTCCTCCCCCTCAAGAGCTGCGCTCTAATTCGGCATTACAGAGAATTGCAAACGTCTTTCACTTTTTTATTATTTTTTCAGTCGTAACCAGCATAGGCGGAAAGTTTTCAACTTCCCGGGGGTTGGAGGAAGAAGGGGGGGGGGGGGGGGGGGAAGACGCCTCCCCCCCCCCTCCCCCTCTGTTTTTGGTCATGGAATATGGGGTGGAACATCCCAACTCGCGCCGCCGAAGCAAAATGGATGAAATGAAAAAGTTGGTATCTTCCATTCGAAATACTATGCTCGTTTATAGACCTTCCCAACGTTTACAAAATCACAGTTCAGCGTGCGATCTTCACAGTCCAACACGTACGTGTTCGTCTCTTCGGAAAGCGAGCAAAGCACGCGCCGTGCGCACGAACACTCAAAATGGCACCGGCCACACGCCTTTTTTTTTTTTTTTGAAAGGTCTATATCAGTGGTGCGGCTCCTACACTCATTTGAGTGTAGGGGCCGGATATCCAACACGTGAAATGACGAGGCCAGCGTAAGACGCGGGGGAGAGGGGGGGGGGGGGGGGGGGTTAGACCTCATGCTTTATGTTTTTTCTAAACTCGGTCTTGCCAGTGACATCTTAGACTTGATTTGCTTATAGGACTACTTTGGGCCTTGACCTGATGTGATAAGAATAAAAATGTCACCGCTCCGCCAGCGTGCTGGCATTTTTAATAGGACAAGTACACTGTCTGTTTCCCTTGCTCAATTTACCCAGGAATTGACTAAGCTCAACATGTTTGTTTTCCTCCCGATTTTTACTACAACAGTCAAACAAATACTTGTCTTTTAACGGTGATATGAAGGCGAGAATCCCAAAGCGAAACAAAGGGCAAATGAACACAAATAGCTATTAACTATGTGAATACGTTAAAAGAGCATGACTGCTTTTCGAGCGAAAATGAATCGGCGAGATGAGATCACGATGCATGGCGCACGCCATTTCTAGCGCTCGAGACATGGGAATGAGACTCGTAACCGGTTGCCTGCGGGCCGCGTCCCAGCGAGTCGCGGGCCGCGTGTTTGAGACCCCCGGTCTATATACTCTGTTGGAGGCTAAGAAAACCAGGGCAAGCTCCTGAAAGAAGAGGTATAGGGCACAAGCGAGGCTGGTGCCCTATACCTCTTCTAAGCAACATAATAAAACCGGAGACACGAAACAAGAAGGACGCACACAACATCTTCTCATGCGCCCCCCGCGAAACCCTCCACCCTTTCCACTTAGCAGAGCCAACGCGGGGAGAGGAGGCGAGGCAGGGAGGGACTCGCCCGCTATCTGGCGTTGGCTCTGGTAAATGGAAAGGGGGGAAAGATTTCGCGGGATTGACTAGTTATGCTGACAGAATTAGTGTGCGCTTTGGTGTTTTCCGAGATTTTCATGCGCGAAATACGGGCACGTTGCTACGCCCATTATTTGTCTGGCTGTGAGTGCAGTGTCTACGCATATGTGATCGAACGGTATAGGGAAACCAGTGACCATGTGCGTCTTACCGGACGATGACAAATCTGGAATGGAGATGAGGTTCTGTCTATATTTTGTTTAAGCGAATATACTTCACTCTTTATTTGGGGAACAGTGTAATGGCGTATTTGTGTTGTTCACCCTGAGCTCTCCAAGAAAGATTTTGTTTTTCGCGCGCATTCCGCTTAGCCGGTGCAAGTTCGCGTTTGTGCTCTGAAAGCCCACTCGATTTCTCCAGAAGTGTTCCCTTCTGATCTAACGTTTACAACAGAATTCACTGACTCAATTTTTTTTTTATTCCTGCTTCTGCAGATTCCATTTACGTCGCCTACTCTTTCTCAGTCTACTAGGACTCAACTTATTGTGAAGGGGCCTCCTTTTAGACCCCTTGGATTTGACTGGTTTTGCTTTGATTTTGGATGTTGTTGGCTGTTTCTTCTGGTCCCCCGTGGTTTGGAGGCAGACCAGCCCATCGGTGATCTCGCATATCCAGCTCAGGTACTTCTCGACCCAGGTGTACGTGCCGTAGTAACCCTTCTCGGCGCACTTGACGCCGAAGGAGACGACACCGATCACGAACCAGCGTTCAAAGACGCTCGAGTACCACATGAGGGGGCCGCCAGAGTCTCCCTGAAATGAAAACAGAGAAAGCAATGGCGCGGCGGTCATATTCATCGACTGAATTGTCATTGGTGAAGTGAACTTGTATATGTACCAACAATCCCCGGAGTCGGCAAACGCCTGCTACGGTGGCCAAACGTGGAAACCCTGCAGGGTCCACATAGCGTGACTCAGGCAGGTAGCCAGAATTTTGTTTCGGGGGGGGGGGGGGGGGGGGGGGGGGGGCGCCGCCGCCTATGACAAAATGCTTTATGAGGGGGAGGGGGGAGAGGAGGTCCCAGCAAAATGGATGATTTTGTGGGGGAACCCATGTCGCCCCCCTGGCTACGTGCCTGCCGTGACTAATAGTTTTAAACTCTCCAGAAACCAGCGGCTTGCTGAGGTTTATCTTTAGTAAACTGCCGCGTTCAACGTCTACAGAATTATGGAAGTAACGAGAATTTCCACACACTTGGAGTGAGCACTAAACATGAATGGCAGAAACTTAGTTGTCTAGTTATTTATAACCATGTAAAAGTCGACATACACGAATTAATCGAAAATATGCGGATGAATGAACCGTACTTAATCGAATGAGAATCTACGAAGCCGCAGAGAGACCAAATTTCTGCTCCGCCTAAGTGTTTGAATTCCGGCAGTTTCATAAAACATTGTTTCATATTCTATCATTCATCCGCATATTTTCGATTATTTCCTCTTTGGAGACCACGTACGACGACGAATAGTGTCCATGATATATCTCACTACCTATCACACATTACCGAAACCTTTAGACATTTCCACATCATCTTGCATCCCGCATTCATCCATTCGAAATGATTGCCTTGTAGGCCAGGCCTTTTATTTCAGGTGTCGCGCTATAGCCCGTTTCACTGTCCGTCCTCGGCGCTACAGTCCAATGTAGCCAGCCATACAGCAGACAATGTGCATCTACACGGCGCTCCTTGTCTCTGTGGATGTGCTATCACCGGTTTAACCAATCACGCACAAGGAAAATTCGGCGGAGACGCTTAAGACTCCTTACTTGAAAAAGGAAGACGTGGCGCGCTGCTTGTAGTGCGCTGCGCGTAGAAATGCAAAAGCATTCCTACAGGCAGCGCACCACAAGCAGCGCACCACGACGAAGCATCCGCGTTACTATGCTTTTCTTTGTGTTTTATTTCCGAGGCGTGTCCGCTTTGACCTTGACCGCCCCCGCCGGCTTCCTTGACGAAGCACCGGCGTTGCTGTGCTTTTTCTTGTGTTTTATCTCTGAGGCGCGTGCTTGATGCCGTATTTTTATGACCATCTTTTGGGCACAACGCCGCCGTTTTTCGCGTAATGGAACAAGTAAGGCTTTCGCCTTAAAAGCGTACGATCACGGCGAATTCGCCGTGCGTGACTAGCTTCGTTGGTGCCAGGAAACGAACAGTGGCGACGAGCGCAGTGACGTGGCACTTTTGGCGCTCCTTGATTGGCTCAATCGGACCGTAGTGTCGACTGCGATCGGACTTGACAGTGAAACGGAGTGTGGCCAAATGTCAGAGACACCGGGTTATCTACGTGGGCACTTCGTCGTATATCAACAGTAAATACTCAACTAAGTACGTATGCCTAACTCTCGCAATTTGTCATTAAAAATGAAAGCCGTTTACAACTCCCTGTAACGCCGAATTAGAGCGCAGCTCTTGAGGAGGAGGAGCCGAGGCCACAAAGGTCACGTGACCCCCCAGATAAATTTTTTCGCTAGATTTAGCGGGGAAAATTTTTCCGCTAAATTTAGCGGGGAAATTTTTCCGCCAGATTTAGCTGGGAAATTTTCCCGCTAGATTTAGCGGAGAAATTTTTCCGCCAGATTTAGCTGGGAAATTTTCCCGCTAGATTTAGCGCGGAAATTTTTTCGCTAGATTTAGCAGGGAAATTTTTTCCGCTAGATTTAGCGGAAAAATATTTCCGCTACATTTAGTGGGGAAATTTTTCCGCTAGATTTAGCGGGGAAATTTTTCCGCTAGATTTAGCGGGGAAATTTACCCATAATGCACCGCGCGGTTACGCCGACGCCGCTCAAGCCGGAAACGGGCGCCTAAGAGCTGCGCTCTAAAAGACACGCAACAAAGAGAAAAGTCACACATTAAGAGGTCTTAGCTGGTCAGACCTATGAAGTAAGTTCATCGTGACGTCGCCGTGGGGGAGGAGCCATGACTTTACAAACGCCCAACTTTAATGGGAGGCATCTTCACCGTAACGTTACGGTTCACCTCAAAGTTACTTTTATTCGTTGAGAAGGCGAAAACTTCTCGTCCCGGCTATGTACGTTGCTTTTGGTGACACTGCAACATCCAAGTTGTCAACCAATCCGCTTTTCCTCGTACGTTCCTCAAGGTACTTTTGTGTGTCCTACCTGACAGGCGTCCTTCTTTCCTGTGATGTCTCCAGCGCAGATCATCCCGTCCGTGATTTCGACGACGCCCTCGAACACCTTTGAACATACCTGGTTGGACACGATGGGCAGGGAAACCTCTCGAAGGTCCGAGCTACTTTCGCCATCTGGTGAAGACAAACGATACCGCTGGAGCAATTGCTTGGCGGGAAACTAGCCATTAAAATATTTAGAGGCGGCAACATCAGTTTGAAGGATGCACACCCGCATGATTGTTTTACACTCTTTCGCGCATGATTCATCTGCTGCTCCAGATTAGGATCCTCAGGAGCACTGGATGCTCCAACCCTTCATTTAATAAGTTGTTACTTTGAAAATCGTTTTCTGCAAAATGACAAATATATTATGAGCAGCTGTACACTGAGAATAAGTACGGAGAAGGTTTGACAGAGAGCGTTTAATTCAATTAATTTGTTCTTATAGTTGATACATACTTTTCCTATAACAAAACCAACCGAAGTCTCCGGTATACTATTGATCTTGATACATTGGTTCAATGCGTGGCAAAGACACAATATTTGAGATGAACGCCACCCATGGAAAAGCGTCAAACATCCTAGCAAAGAACCAACAGATTTCGGTGGTGTGAATGGAACACTGCCGAAGGTACGCACTCAGCAGAAAGGCCATCGCAATGGGGATGTTTAGTCAATGCGAGCTTTGTGTTCGCACAGCCACATCTTGGCCGCACTTGTAAGGTTAATGAAAGCATTCCGGAGTTCTTTACATTTGCAAGCCCGTGGCTTTAGACTGATTTCTTTTCACGGGTTTTGGCATAGGTGCGCTCTCTCTGTAAACTGCGGGTGGAGCTTAGAATGGATGAGTGAATGATATTTTTATTGACGGGGCGCTTGTGGAGACCGTGTACGGCCTCAGCGACTCGCTGCAGCTGGTCATCCTCGTCGGAACTGGCCAGCCAGTCAGCCCATGATGGGGGAGTGGGTTGGGAAAGGTGGGGAGCGTGAGAATGCAGGGACTCGCATTGCTCGCTTCAGCACGTACACACGTAGAGCCGTGACCAGATTTAACGTGCGGGGCGTTGATGTTCACATAGAAGAAAAGGCCTGTGCGTGACGTCATCGTTAGTGAATCCCCGACCCGCCCCAAGCTGCAACCATGCGAGTCTCGCCGAGACACAGCGTGTTTGCTGCTTGGGGCGGGTCGGGGATAGACGTCATGGACAGGCCTTTTCTTCTATCACCGGTGACAGGTTAAGATTTCAGGGGGAAGCTCCTCCCACCTCTTTCCACTTCAGCAAAGCGAACGGTGGAGAGGAGGCGACCTCCTTTCCAGCGTTCGCTCAGCTAAAGTGGAAAGAGGTGGGAGGAGTTTCCCCTGCGCTCTTATTTGTCACCGACAGTAGGTGGTATTGGTTTATGTCGCATAGCTTCGTACATGCATGCGCTCAGCACGAGACGAGGTTGTCCCAATAGTAGAGCGTCGTTAAATTAAAAAAATAACGACCAAAGCGAACTCACTGTACTTCGTCCTGCCCCAGCCTGCAACCACACCCGTTGTGTTCACCACAGTGCTGCGGTCCAGTTGAGACGCCTGCGGCGTGCAGATGGGTGGCACTGGCTGTCCGTCCGCGAGCAGAGGTGTCTCCAGTTGCAACATGGAGATGTCGTCGCCGTGCACGATGTCCACGAATTTCTTGTGCTGATGTATCGCCTTGACTACCGCCACGTGCTCATGCCGTTCCGCCAAGGTGCGCTCGTTTATGGTCTGCAGCCCGTAGGCGACTCTTAGATTCACCGCCATTCTTCTGTAAAGCGAACAGAAAAATAATTTCCTCTCAACGAACGCGAGTCTTTTTTTTTTGTTTGTGTTTTGTGTTTTTTTTTTAAACAAAGCGATTGTTCGACCATGGTCCTGAGATTTCCTGTTCTAGGATTTTTTTGAGACGATATTGAAAAGATTTTTCTAGGAACATATTGAAGCACTAGAGGCGCGGTGCAGACTTTAGGAGTTAACCCATTGGGTCGCTCGGAGAACCTAACGGATGGGCGTGGGTTCGGAGAAGTCACCGTGAATAAAGTTGCTGGATGCGTGCACATGAATCAGCGCCGTCTGTGAAGACAAACTTTACTAGGGCGGAAACCACCGAAGTTTTCAGGCTAGTACGTAGTTTATGTAAGGACCGTGGTGCCACTTTGTCATTAGGGGCTTTTAGCAAAGCGTTACCGTGTTCGGCGTACCGCACTACCGGAGCCTTTGAAGCATGCACCCAGGCGCGCACTTAAAAAAATGAGAGACGTTTTCAACTGCTTGTAATGCCGAATTAGAACGCAGCTCTTGAGGAGGAGGAGCGGAAAGTAAGGGGGGACGGTATGCCCCTCCTCCTCGTCCGTACCCTCCCCACCTCCCTCCTCATCTACTCCCGTGCTCCTCGCCTCCTCCTCCTCCCTCCTCCCCTCCCCTCCTCCTCCTCTTCCTCCACCCCCCTTCCGTGCGGCACATTATGAAAAACGTCCCATAATGCAACGCGCGCGTCACCGCGGTGCGTTATGGGACGTTTCCCATAATGCGCCGCGCGGTTCCGCCGGCGGCGACGGCGACGCCGCTCAAGCCGGAAACGGGCGCCTAAGAACTGCGCTCTAAAACACGTTTCAAAGGCTCCGATAGTGTGGACCATGGTAACGGTTTGCTAAAAATCCCTATTGATTGGCGTAAAATTCCGCAGTGCTCTCCTAGCTATTCGCGTGAACGTGTGGCTTCGTTTGGCGTCTTTTGCACGAGAGCACAAGCATATGCGACGCAAGGCAAAGACACGTGCTTTCACGACAGTGCAGTGTGGCAGCACGGTCAAAGCTACGGCAAACTTAACAACCTAGTAGAAAATAGTTGAAGCCGAGCACAGTAATCTGCCTGCATGCCGTTTGAAAAGAAAAAAATAACTAGGAATACGAGATGACATGCGTTTTGCAAGTGCAGGTTTGTTCTTCGTTCCTAGCATCACTTCGCGAGGTAGAGCTAAACCTATATAAGATGTACAGTTAGCGGGTGGGCATAATCATTTTGGACTTTACAGTGGTAGTGGAATAAAAAATTCTGAGTTAGAATATTGAGCATAGTAAATACATCTCTCCAGTGAAATGCTGCCAGCGCCAGCATGCCTTGCGCATTTCCTGATTATAAGATTTAAGAAAACGATGCCGCTTGTGAAGGCAAACATTGCTAGGGCGGAAACCACCGAGGTTTCCAGGCTAGTATACGTAGTTTATCTAAGGACCGTGGTGCCTCGTTGTCGTTAGGGACTTACCCTCGGGTGCAGTGAGCTGCAGTCAGGACGAACCACGGTGTTAGGAGAACGGCCCCACAGTATGGCTGGGAAGAGCCGTCCATAAAGATTCCCACCTGAAATCAGTGCAGTAGATTCTCCCATTCACAAATCTTGTTGGCAAATGTTAGGCTTCAATCTAGTTTCTGTCATCCTGGCGACGCAGGTTGAACTTGATATTGAAATATTAAAATCGACAGAGATTAAAAGCTCTTTTCTTTTTAACTTTTTCATTTGCTAATACCATAATGTACCAGCACGAAAATGCTTCTGTTAATACAATATCCAAACCGCAACAACTAGACATTTTTGATAGATAACTTGTTGCAGTAGAGTTAATGGAGAGGGAGACTGTTTCAAATCGGTTGTTCGAATTTGAGAATAAATAGAAGTAAAGTGAAGCACGAGGTGCCAATCTGATCAACTACCCCTCACCGCGTCTAGTCAAAGCCCAGTCTTTTTTCCATGATTTCAATTTTTTATTCCCTGACACAAAGTATGCAACAAGGACAAATGACCCAGATATCATTGTCCTTGGGAATGACTAGGAGGTTCTGTAGAGCTCGCTGTTGCCAGGGTTGCGCTCGTGTGATTTAAGCGGACGCTCTTACGACTGGTCCGGAGATTGCGTTTGATTGTGACCGATGACGTACAACCCCTTGTGACTGTTTACGACGAGATCATACGGTTATTATGACAACCGAAGTCCACGCAACGGGTCGTAGTGAGACGCGAGGAGTCGTAACTCAGCTGGTCATAATCAAACCCAAATTTCTGAGCCAGCCTCTATGTGTTGTAGTTCACCTACGTATGGTGCTTTGAGGGAACTGTGCCTACTTACAGTCCATGGGTAGTAGGTCACTGAGCTTATGGTGCCGCCAACTATCCGACGCTTTCTTGAATGGGCTTTACCACAATTTTCCCTTATAAACTGTGTGATGTTTATGTTCGCCAAGGCGTCTTTGGTGCCCGAAGGTATTGAGTCTTTTCCGATGTTCTGCGATGGGTCCTGGTCATTGAAGTCCGTTGGTGAGTCAGGTTTCGGATTTGTAGATTGGTTACCATTAGAATTGTCTTGGGAGGGCTCGTCTGGCACTTCTGCGACATTGTTTTTGATCCCTTCATTGTCACCACCGCTTACGATTACCGGCATGACAATATCGCTTTCAGTACTTTTTGCTGGTTCTGGTTCTTCGACATCATCGGACTCGACGGCAAGGTCGTTCGCTGGTATTTCCTGTTCTGCGCCTTCTGGCGTTTTTTCCAAGACACTGACTCCAGGCGCAGGGAAGGTAATGTGGTTACCTAGACATGGAAAGTATAAATGCATATTTTATCGGAAATGTCTCACTTTAAGGCGACCACAGCTTTTTTTTTATTTTGTACCGAGTTTGTTTACTTGCATTAGTATGTGTATATAACCCAAAGGAAATAACACACATCATCATATTTGTACACAAATTTAAAGGAACCGAGTCAGGGATACTGAACAAAATCTTTTGTTACTGGCGGTTTTAATATGAGTGCATCAGTACATTACAGGCGCGGATCCAAGGGGGGGGGGGGGGGCGGCCCCTCCCCCCCCCCCCCCAAACGGAGTTCTGGATCCGCCCCTGGTACCTTACAACTGTTAAAACACACCACGGCAATGATGTGTTTCAACACTATCCGACACTGGGATCACGCAATATGTGATTTAGCAAATAGACCTAGACAGCACCTGTCTAGGTCTATTTGCTAAATCACATATTGCGTGATTTGTTTGTGGTAATTCCCGGTTGGATATGGGAAATATTTCAAGCTTTTGTCTAGATGTCTTAGCCAGATTTAGCTTTCCAAGAACTTGTCGGACAGTAATATAATGTCAGGTATCTACTGTGCATAGTGTTCTGCCGAGAGATCGAATGGACAGGTCAGCGCAGTTGAGACAATAGATCCGGTGGCACACGTTCAAAGGTGGAGCTTTCAAGTAAGTATCCACTATTCATTTCGCGTGTGAATACAAAACAAACAAATATATATATATATATATATATATATATATATATATATATATATATATATATATATATATATATAACGGGCATGGTGGCGGGAGGCCGAAGGCGTGGGCAGACTTGTACACGTTACTGAAAAATAGTAACGAATTACATTTACAATTACTCGAGGCTAAATTGTAATTTATTACAATTACAATTACCCTCCCATAAAAGTAACTGACCGTTACCCCAAAAAGTAATCCTTTACTTTCGTGGCGTTACTTTTAACATTATTGTCCTCAAGTAAGAAACAAAGGGAAGAGGGTTATTCAAGTTCTTATTGTTGTAACGTGTTCCATTTAATGACCTTGAGTATTTTGAGCAACAGCTGACCCTCAAAAGTCTCGTCAGACATTTTGTGTTCTTTCTTACTCAATATGCCGACTGCTACGCTGAACACCATTTGAGCTGAGGCACTGGATGGGAGTGCCATATCGTTCCTCACGAATGCTTCATGTTCTGCTTTGAGCTTTTTCAGCGAAGCAAGGGAAGTACTATTTACCTCGAATGTAGAGCAAAGCTTCGTCGTTGCAGCCGTTGCCTGCTATTCGAGAGATTTAGTAGATCCTTCCGATACCTCCGATACCCGCGATAACGATATGATGCATACGCATAGACGGCGGCGAAGTATCGGATATTGTGATCGGAGTCATCGGAGCGATCTACTAAAATTCTCCATTGTCTAAATCGCGAAGCTGTGGAAGTCATCAATAGCAAAACATAGTTGTAATAGTAAGGTGATAATTAAATAATAAATAATGTTTGGCTCGATATTCTTCCTTTGGTTCTGAAGAGTTCGAGCCTCACTTGAGACGTTGGTGAATAAAAGAAAGTTTCCAGTATATAAATATAAGTAATAAAAAAAAAAAGAATGACACTCATAACAACAATTAATTAGAACGTCGGTTAAAACAAGGATATGTAAACGCACGTTTGCCGTGTGTACCTTTCTTGTTGCCGTTCAAAAACGCACGGAGCACGGAGCGACTGCAGTTTACTCCGGTGTTCTCCAGATAGACGTCCGCTGATGCCACCGGCAGCAAAGGGTAGAGTACTAAGTAAGCCGCGCTATGGCCCCACTCACGAATTTCACTGTCTCCTCAAGCCCAGAATATCAAGTCTATGTCAGCCACCATTATGTTTTATTTGTAAAAATATCTGCTTGAGATAAGATGGGCCCTGCTGGGGCAAAGCAGGAAGCAGAAGAAGGGAAGACTATTAGCATTTTCTAAGTGCTCGCAAAAAGCTGACTCACAAAAAGGGGGTAGACGGAGCGTTGTCTCGTGTTATGACATTATGAAAATGGTCGTAGAAGGACATTGTTAATTCTTTTCAGTGCATTTACGCCTCGCGCTTCTCGAAGAGGCGCACGATCACTTGGTGTCCTCCTCTCTTCGTCTTCGATCGCAAAGAAAAAACAGAGGGACTAAACAAAAGCGGAAATAACTTGCCCCTTCCGCCCTCCCCCACCCCCCCCCCCCCCCTTTTTTTTTGTAGAAATGTTTATTTGGATTTTTTTTACATTGTTGTCAGGGTGTAAAAAAAAAATTCAGAAGCTTAATGTTAAAAACAAAAAAGGCTTTGCGGAACTGAAGTGCCAAGCCTCCCTTTGCGCTGGTCCATTCGCGTGATAGTGTCACTGCGCTCGACTTTACAAAAATGAAAAAAAAAAAAAAAAAAAAAACTTTATTTAGAAAGGGATGGGGGGGGGGGGGGTTGGTTCTGACAAAAAATGTAACGGATTACAAGGAATCCGTTACGTCAAAAATGTAAGGGAATTACTTTAAAATTACCCTAGAAAATATGTAATTATTCCGTTACTAAATTACCGATAAATGTAAGGGATTACAAGTAATTTCGTTACTTGTAACGGATTACGTACAAGTCTGGGCGTGGGTATAAAACTGAGAAGAAAAAAAACCCTTAGTGAAAAACAGCAACAACGGACGATTTAATCTTCGACGTTTCGGCCGGAGTTTTAGAGCGCAGCTCTTAGGGGCCCGTTTCCGGCTTGAGCGGCGTCGCCGTCGCCGTCGCCGTCGGCGTAACCGCGCGGTGCATTATGGGAAATGTCCCATAATGCACCGCGCGAGCCCCCCACCGGGGTCACGTGACCTCGTGGGGGGCACGTGACCCCCCCCGAGGTCACGTGACCTTACGAAGTCACGTGACTTCCCTGAGGTCACGTGACCTCGAGGAGGGTCACGTGACCCCCGAAGTCACGCATCGTCATCGTCATCATCAGTGATGATGACGATGCGGATGCCGGTGACGTCATTAGTGATGATGACGATGTGGATGCCGGTGACGTCATCAGTGACGTCACTAATGACGTCATCAGTGATGATGACGATGTGGATGCCGGTGACGTCATCAGTGATGATGACGATGTGGATGCCGGTGACGTCACTGACGTCATCAGTGACGTCACTGATGACGTCACCGACATTCGCATCGTCATCGTCATCATCACTGGTGAAGTCATCAGTGACGTCACTAATGACGCCATCGGTATCCGCATCGTCATCGTCACTGATGACGTCATCAGTGACGTCAGTGATGACATCTTCGGCATTGGGGGGGTCACGTGACCTCCAAGGTGACGTGACCCCCCCCTGGTTAGTTCACTCCCCCCCCCAGTACCCTTCCCTCCTCCTCAAGAGCTGCGCTCTAATTCGGCGTTACATGGAGTTGTAAGCGGCTTTCATTTTTTTCCCTTTTTTTTGCATAATGTGGTAGTTTATAAGTGCCTATATATATATATATATATATATATATATATATATATATATAGTTGATCGGCGTTGGCGGGAACGGATCTCGTAAAATGTTTAGTAACAGGAACAAAAAGTGTACACAGTACACGATAACGGTCTACGGTATTACGCCTAGCCCACGAACCATTTTACGAGACGAACGTGTCAGATCGATAATTTCTGAGACAGGTATGTGTTTCGTATTCGTCAGTTAGTTTTCAGATGCCTTTCAGTGTCCTTTAGATTTAGAATCGTTGAAGGCGAAAATACCGTCTAGCTGTCTCTTGGTTCAAATTACCAATTACGAAAAATCCGGTATAACTTTTCGGTATCCGGATTATGGAACCGGAAATCTATCTGGATTCTATCTGGACTCTATCTGGAATTTAGGTTTTCAGAAATTATTCCTTTGTCTGCAATCTGGATTTCGGGTTTCCGGTAGCAAATTTCCGGTTCCATAATCCGGACAGTGAAAAGTTATACCGGATTCTTTTGGTAGGGGCCGGTTTTCTTTTTGCCTTAGTTTATATTTAGAATAATAGTAGTACGTGCGTCATCATATACAGAGTTTTCAAAGTGCCGGGCACTTTGCAGACATTGCACGTCTGCACGTTCGTAGAAGCTAGTTTAAAGTGCAATGAAAAAGGCCACCCACATCGACTGAAGGAAAGGCAAAAAGGTTAAAGTATGACTTGCTCCGCGCTCTGCCTCGCGCGTCATACATTGTTGTATCGACCATATCGAGCAATGAAAGAACTACACGCTGCACAAGTGGCCTTTTTCATCGATATTTTATACATTCGCCGTGACGGCAGGGCGTACGATATTTAAGATAAGATACTCAAGAAGTAATTCAAAATTTTAGTTTAAAACGAAAAAAAAATGCAAGCATTACTTTTGAACTGACAATAAAACCTGATTTTGGGCAGTTACTATGTACATAACTGTGCGATTTGAAGTGCCCGTACACAGTTTGTATTCAGTCGATAATTACTTCATTGCGCAAGAGATCGAGGAGTTCAGTCTCAGAAATCTGTCCGTTCCGCCCATACCAGGAAACGTCACTTTACAGTCAAGTAAATAATCTGATTATCCAGGGAACGCTCTAACTTATATCGACATACACTTTCTCATTCGTAAAAAAAAAAAAAAAAAAAAAAAAAAACTTTTTTTTTCTTTTTTTTTTTTGCATAATGTGGTAGTTTATAAGTGCCGAGATAGTTGAGCTACGAACCGTTTATAAATTCGCTTTTTACTTCGCTGACGAATGTGGCTTGTTTCGAGGTTGGTAGCTAATATGCCTTCGGAAATACTTACCGTGTTTGTGAACGTGATAAGATATGAGCAGTGCTGTTTGGTAATTTAAAGTAGATGTAAAGAAAACCCTTGGTTGCAATCGAGAGAACGTAGCTACACTATTTCCAGTTAATCCCCATCGATCAAAGGCGTTGAGTTGTGCTTACCTTCGAGGTTTGAGGTATGGGCAACCTGCAAGAAACGCAAATGCCCTTTAGGTTACGTGTCAACGATCCTTATATGTGCTTGCATTTATGACGGAAGTTCATAAATTAATAATTAAATTATTATTAATTAAAATGAAAACTTAATTTATCTAATGCACGATGAAAGGTAAATATCCTGCTTCGATACACAACTACACCAGGTGTTAATAACAATAGTAAACTTTTAGAAAACCTCCTGTTTTTGTCCATCAGTCTGAGTTCAGAGAGTAAACAAATACGTAGAACGAATATCGGTGTCGAGCGATCTTACCTTTTGACACGAGCATAATTGAACGCAGACGACCACCAATAGGAGACGCAGGATTAGCCTCCATGCCGAATCGAAACGAGCAGTCATCCTCCGGTAATCCGACCTGGCATCATCCGACCTTAGAATCCACCATGGCGGTGGCAACGTCTACAACATATACGGCAGCGCCCCAGCGCTTATACTTTATCGCCGAGTGCGCAAAAAGCCAAGGAGCACTGCTTTTGAAACTCTGACGTAGACGGAATGTGCTCTCGAGTTTCGTCGTGTAGGGAGGAGGAGTTTGAAGCCGCACATGGCAAAGGCGGGTTTCAATGAAGTGCCTCATCTTCGCCGCAGCTGCATGCCGCAGCATGCCTCGACCCGGAAGGCATGTATTCGCGGAGGCGATGCTGCGAGTTTGATGGACGGCGCATTGTCTTCTCGGCGCTAGAGGCGAGCGTCATTTCTAGAGACCAGAAAGCTGGAGAGATAGAAAGGCTACGACTTCTACTGTGTTTGTGCATCGGAAAATTTGTGCTGGCCTCAGTTAGGGAAAGAACTCTTTCGTTTTGTGTTCGGGGTGCTGGTGGACAAAGCTTCAGTTTAATCGCGTGTGACGTTTTACAATCTTTGGAGCTGTGTTTAGGATCAAGCTGTTAAACGCGTTATTTATTGTATAGCTCGAATGTAGACTTCGAGATCTAGTTTGCGTGATGAACACTGCATCGACAATTTTTTTTTTTTGTCGCATGCTTCCCAGAACGAGGCAAGCAAACACAGAAATTTACTCTTCCTCTTGGTTACAAGAATATGCATCTTCCATCAAACCTTTTTAGTTTTAGTTACATCTTCTAGATTCAAAGAGAAAAGCAACAAGATATCTCCAATGAGGTTTCAAAATATTGTTCTTCCTGAAGAGCTAGTCTACTTTGAGCTATTAAAACTCATGTAAACTTGGCGCTCTTATATGCTGACGCCATCTTGATAATTCGACTGGCAGGGTTCAAGACGCGGTTCGGGATATCTAAGAAACATAGCTGAACTCTGTCGAGCTCCTTCCTGCCCCACAGGCATTCCAAAGGACATTTAGCCAGATGTTATTGAGGCGGGCGACGAATCCGATTGCGATTTCAATTCCCTGTGCACGGTTTCCAATTGGCATACGGTGATTCGCCGAATGCGATTTGAAATTGCCACGTAGCAGGGGTTTCTGTCAGCCCCTTTTTTTCTTCTTCTTTTGTATATCATGGTAAGTAAACGAAGGCATTGGAATTCGCACAATTGTCTAGATGACGCCGGACCAAGTTAAAATGTTTGTGGCACCTGATCACGGTTGTCTTATTGTCAACAGTGATTAAGGTTGAACGGTGTAAACGTGTAAACGGAAGTCAGTCTGCGCTCGACGAAAACATTATCATTAGCGCCCTCCTGTGTACGCTTATTCGTGCCCGTCTTTATTTGAACCTACAGGCCTCCTAAACGTGATCCTGCAGGGAGTTTCAAAAAACGAGAGCCGTGTTTTTCGACCCGGGTAAATGAACGATGCATAGCAGGAAGCTCAAACGCCGTGAGAATGTGACACTGGCGTTTTTTTTTTTTTTTTTTTTTTATTGAAATAAATATTAGAGGCACCGTTGGAGTCATTTCTTGTTTTGACGATATTAGGCGTAGCTGGACGTCGGCTCAAAGAAATTTCGTGTTTTTTTTTTTTAATTATCTTTTGATTCGGGTCACGTCATGTTCTCAAATTGTCGCGTTCATCCCAACCGCTAGCGTAACATTCTCACGAAGTCTGAGTTTTCTGCAATGCTTAGTTTATTTACCCGAGCCGCAAAACACGCCTCTCGTCTCTTAGGAACGCCCTGTATTTTCGTTGACAGCAGACACTGCACGTCCGAGACAGACCGCCGATGTACAACTAACTTTGAAAAATGAATAAATACCGAAATATCATCCGCCGATGTCTTTTTAGAAATAAACACCGAAAAACCTACGACATACTTATTATCTATGACGTGGTGGTCAACCCTGTATTTTTCTACGCGTCAAGCAAGAAATTACGTCAAACAGGAATCTCCAGATTTTAATTGCTACCCTTTTAGCGTCTCTTGACTTGCAAGTGACGTGGAAGGGTACCATTTGCGTGTGTTCGGTACGCACACGTCATTCTCTCGTCATCCTGCGCACATGTGTCTGCGTTGAAAAACATGTCTACCAAAAGGCCACATCTGTTGACACCGGTATGTATTATCCCGTCATACACGTGATCTTTGCGGCTGTGGCAGTGATTTGTTCCACGTATCAAAAAGTTGAGTATGGAGTCGGCAGTCCCCTGTTAGGGCAACACTGCGCGGTACAATTTACGTGCGCATGACGTCAACGCTTGGTGACAACGTAGTCCCAGCGTCTAACCGATACCACCTTGAAGACAAGGCCTGGCTATGACGTCATCGTTAATGAATGCCCGACCCGCCTCAAGCGGCAAACACGCTCACTTTCGACGAGGGACGCCTCAAAATGGCAGACGCGTCTGTCTTGGCATCGCCGCGTGTGCTGCAGGAGACGCAAGGTCCTCGAATTCAAAATGGCGACGCGTGGGGATCGCCATTTTGAATCGTCAAGTGCGTGTAAGAAGCTGGGACCATGATCGCTGCTTTCGTCAGGTGCGTGTAAGAAGCTGGGACCATGGCTTTGTGTAAGAAGCTCGAACGCATGGCTTTTGTCAAGTGCGTGTAAGAAGCTGGGACCATGATCGCTGCGTTCGAGGAACAGACGGAACGAACTACATTCTGTCAAAGTGGTCGAGGTTTCTGAAAGCAGACTTAATATACAAGATGTTTTTTTTTTTTTTTTTTTTAATTTACATTTTTTAATGCGAAAAGTAACCTGATTGTCGAACGCTCATAATCTTCCCAGATGTAGCGTTAGCGGTTCAAACCGGAAGCTAATGTATCATGACTAATTATTATTAAATTATAAGCGATTTTTTTTTAAATTTTCAATGGAAAAATGGCGGCCAACGAAGCTTTCGCGTTCTATAGCGCCAGTTACCGAAAACGGGCGAAAATGCATGGGCACCATTTTTCCATTGAAATTTTTAGAAAGTCACTTAACCTTTGAATGAGATAACGGTTAATTCTGAAACTCGGACACATGCCACGGCGTAAATAAACCTGAAATTTTGCCAGCTTGTAATATTCGATTCAACCAATTATTCGAAAAATCGAACACTAGGAATCCGCGTGAGTCAAATCGACTTATTCCGAAGATCATTATTCGATTCAAGTTCGAATTTCGAATATTCACACACCCGTAGTACACTCAGCGCTGCGTGAGTGTTCTTCCTGTGTGCGTAAAATTTGTTTTAAGTGTGTCTGATCTTGTGCGCTGTGAAGCAGTACCGTAGTACACAGAATAGCTCGTCAAAACTCATGTCTCCCGCCTCCTTAATACTAAAGAGTTTGAGCCCTCCATTCTGTTGTTTGAGAACCTACTAACGTTACTTGATTATTTTCACTTCGAACTGGCGCGATAGAAAGAACATGAACAACCTTGGAGATGATAACAGAAATTCAGCAGAGACAATGAAGACTTCTTTAGATCTGGGAATACGAAAGCACGACGCACGCACTGGACACAGCTTTAGTCAGCCAGACCCTTGGAGCCACCGTGCACGGCTTTGAGGAAGCGTGCTCGGTGGCTCCAAGCCCTGCAGGCCCGGGCTCGATTTCCACCCCGACCGAAATGTACGAAATTCTCTTTTCAAAGCCATTAATTTCCTTTTTTTTTTACAAGAACCTCTCCGAGAAAGTTTTCGCAGCTAATGGTAGTTCAGTTGCCGTTTTCGCCGGCTTGGCTCCATAAGACACGTTAATGGTTTCGCATTAATAACAAAACAAGTATCGCACACGATCTCAGCTCTAATATCATACTAGTAATGTGTTGGCAGGCAAAAAAAAAAAAATTGTATACAATGAGACGAATGTAAAATGCAATATACAGTAGCCTCATTGGCAGAGAGGCAACAAAGGCACAAATTCATTGAACGCGGAAAAATTCCATCACATTAGAGTATAGCTCTGATAGGAATAGAAATGCGAAGTATTATTGCGCATTTCTTATTTTCTTATTATTTAGATGCATATGAATTCATATGTGTATGCATTTATATACGAAGTAATACTGCGTTTTACCCGAGTGTGCCAACGATAAGCAGAGAACTAGCACGTCGCTTCGCACGAAGCGGGACACCACCGCGCCAGCGCTGAACAAGATCACGCCTCACGTCGCCGCCTTGAGAGTAAAATATTACTTTACTACTTTTGCCGAAGAACAATTACTTTTGTCGAAGCACAAGACAACCTGTCGGTCGTCTTGTGCTTCTGCAAACAAAATAAGCACGCGAATCCAGGTGGCGTCGCTGTTGTTTCTTGTTGTCTTTCCTGTTTGCTTTGTGCAGGCTGTTCAGCATGATGCACCGAAAGACGACGGTCGCCGTGCCTAAGGTTACTGGATCTGGGAGAGTTGCGGCATTGTCCTTCCCCCAGCTAGCCGGACACAAACAAATACCAGCTGCAGCATGCAGACGATAAAACCTCTCAAGGTGATTGCCCAGAGCCGTGTGTAGAGAGGGTCTGGTCAATGGGAGGAGCCGGCGGGAGCTGGTGTGGAGCGGCGAAAGCGGCGGTGGCTCCGCCAGCGCCGCATATTCCCCCCGTGATGAAGTTGCGAAGTAAAAATGCGCTGGGTTGACCTTAAGAAATTCGCGTAGCGCGACGCAATTTTTTTTTTTTTGGATGATGTTGGAAGTACATGAATGTATAATGGTGAGAGATTGGTGGAAAAAGGGAATTTGAAGGTGCTGAGTGCGTTTACTGAGCCAAGAAAAATGACATTGACGACAAAAATTTTCTGAAACGTAAGGCGCAACTGCGAATGTGCGGTGCGAGTTGGGGGTTTGGGTCAAAACTTCCACGGAGCCGAATTCTTATTTTTTATCGGCCACCTTGTCGTGGCCGCGGCAGTGGTCGCCGCCGCGAGTGCAGTGAAAAGAAAGATTGAGTGCGTTTTGACTAAACGTAATGTAAGTAAAACAGCGCAGAACGACCAACAATAGAGGGAAGGAACAAACAAGACGGGAAAGGCGTTGACTCGCAACTCAAGGTTTTATTACAGAAAACATAACGAGTAAACACGTCAGGCAGCAATTTATCTACACATGCGCCAACCTTTCTGCCACATCACATAGGGCACCG